TATAGTTTTTGTTCTCAACGCTAGCTAGCTGCCATAGTCACTAGCTTGACGATGATAGCCTTATGTGACCACAACAATAAAAATGTGTAGAGAAATATACAAAATTAGTTAAGCGAAGTGTGCGTGACTATGCACATACATACATACATACAAACATATATGTACATATCCTTTGCGCTCAAACGTAGGAGTGTTGTAAGTACGTATATAAGTACATAGCGCCTTACCCATTAAGTATGTATGTATAGTAGGTGTAGTAGTTGTGACTGTAGTGGCGTTAATCGCATTTAAACGGTCGTATATATATTTATGTACATATGTATATGTGATGCGATATCAACTCAGCCCTTATAGATTGATTAGCTTCCTTGAAATGGTCTACCTTTGCAATGTTCATATAGGCGCATATTCATACATAAATAAGTATACCCTGCAGTGAAAAGCTGTCCTAAATATGCACTAATGCCACTATTATTTAGGATAAAGTCTAATTTTATAATGTATAATTATACAAGTTCCTCGTAGAAAAAAAAGTAAACTAATTGGATGAAATTCTTGTTCGTCGGTTTCGTCAAACCATTTGAATTTTTCGATGAATCTATTTCAGCTAGCAATGGTGCATTTGGAGACCTGTCTAAGATTTTGGATGAAAAAACTGCCGAGTGTGCCGTATCTTATCGTGCTAATGCTGAGCACTCGCAAAATGATGTAGGATCGTCTTCCTACTTGCAAGAGTTGTACGGAAGGTCCCTTTTAGCTGCATGTTCGCCAATGGGCCCACGTCCCGTTATCGTGGCTGTTAAGTTCATTATATCTTCCCTCGACCCTTTAGAAGTTCTTTTGCCTTTGGTTTGTCATAATACGGCCATATGATCCTCACAGTTTTGCAGGTTTGAGGGGTCTTCCGACGTATATCAGCCATACGTGAGGAGTCCTGAGTGAGCAAAGTTCAGTTGTCGGAACGAGAGAGAGCCATTCAACGTTTCAGAGAACACCCCCGCATGCACACCGGAGCCCATTTTGGAGCCTTCAGTATCATAGATATGAATTCCGATTCCATGCCGGCTTTGAGCCTAGTTTGTATAGATTTCTGGATTTCCCTCGACTATGCTGCCCCTTCTGAAAACCCGTCTAGAAGGAAACTTACGGAAATACGACACCCAAGTATTTCGCCTCGAAAGAAAATGTGAGAGTCCTTCCTTGAAGTGTGACAGCTTGCATTGTAGGTATTTTTGTTTGCTTGGTAGACACCTTCAGTTCCGTTTCGCTGGGGTTGACACTCTTTGTGGTCCAGGTATTTAGCCCGAGCAAAGCTCCCTCTAGGGTTTCGCTTATCGTATCGCATATGCTACTACATTTCACTCCACATTTGTCGAAAGCCAGTAGAATGTCGTTCAATGGCACCACCCATAGTAGCGGAGACAGAACTCCCCCGTGGGAGTGCCCCTATTTGCATAGCGTTACTACCAATGCTTGAAATTATATGGTAATTCTGTTTCTAAGCATTTGTTCTATCCACGCTCATATGCAGTCAGATATTTCCATTTTCCAAGGCATCGAAAAATTGCTTTGATTGTAATATTATTGAATGCCCCCCCCCCATGACGAGGAAGGTCGCCAACGTGCACCGCTTGTAGTGGAGTGAGTTTTCTATGGAGCCCACGACTACAGTTGACCTGCATTTAATGTATGCTTGCTGAGCTGCGAAAGCGTTTTCGAGATTGTTGCTTTATGAGTATGCTGGGTTTCGTTTATCTCTTTTTGATACTCGGTTGGATTCTGATTGTGTTATTCCTTAAGTGTAAAAAGTCAATTACACCACATTTTGCCTTCACCGAAAACTATACGGACGCGATTGCAGCTGGTGAGTGAAAGTAAATACACGCCATCTTTATTAAGTGATTAAATGGAGGACAAGCAGAAAGTACCGACATAGTACTTATAGAGTTCAGCATGAATATTATAGAGGAAGAAACTCCGTGAATTTTGTATGAAGCCCGACGAAGGCACAAACGGGAGTTAAATGTTTTTTTAAAAATGAGAAGCGTGTGGCACGGGTATTAAATTAGTAAAGTTTAAAAATAGGCAATCTAATATTTAACCAAACGCTATATTTACGGGAATTTGGTTGGTTGAAGTGCCGAGTTTAACAACTCCAATTAGCACATATTTATGCGTGCCGTTTTAAAACCACTGCTCGCAATTTAACCTCAAAAAGAGCACGAAAACGAAGCAGCTGTAGTCGGTTATTTTTTCTAAAATCCAGCATGTAAAGTTCAAGAACTTAAAAAGTTGCAGTGGGCTAATGTCACTTATGCCTGTTAAGCCGCAGTAGCAGGGTTTGCCTAGAAGCCTAATCCTAGTCATACATAGTCCTAGACAATCGCAGAGCAGATGCTCCACCATTTCTTCTGCATCTGGTGAATTACAGCTATGACAAGAAGTGTTCTTTTCCAGTTTCTGTATTGCAGCCTGAATTCTCACGGCCCAGTGGCCTGTGTAAACCACAGTTGGTCGAGATAGATTCCTCCTGTTTAATTTCATAAGAAAAATCAGAGCTGACCCATTCCTAGGTCATCTCATTGCCATGAATGCTGTTGTGCACCGGCATCCAGATCAGCGTAAAGGCATGCCTGTCAGCTAAAGCCATAACGTTCGCTCTGCATTGTTCTGTTATGCTGGCGGTGATGCTTACAGAGTCAAGTGAATTTGGTAATCGAATAGACTCTTCGATTTGGAGGTCGGTTGAAAAAGCACCCGCCCCTACGCCACAATCCATTTTTGAGCCGGATAATTCGATGGATAATTCGAAGCGTTCGGTAAAAATAAGCTTCTTTCACTCCGTTCTTGATTGAAACCTTGTGCTGAACTTTCTCTTGAATAGAAGCGAAGGACAACTGTAGTCAGATTTTTCGCAAATGCTTTGGGCGTTAAAAAAGTACAGGATACGTACGTACGTTCTTTCCACAGTCGAAGTTCCCTCAACCTCAGGGCACTCTGAGAAGCACTTTCCTTAATAAAGAAATCAATCGGTGGCAGATGACAGATGACATTCAATGCTTCCGTTGGACATGATCTTATCGCCCCAGTAATGGCAATGCAAACTGACCTTTCTACCCTGCCTAACATTGTGCGTATATAGTTCATCTCTACGGTTTACACTAAACCAGCGAACCATATGCAATAATCGGTCGCAGGCCCCACTTCTTACCCAGTATTTTCTTGCAAGAATACAGAGCACCATAGACCTTTTTTACTCGGTGCTATGTGTTCATTTTCCACTTTAAATTTGGTGTGAGAATGACTCCCAAATAGCGTAAGGAGAGAGAGTATGCCCATTTATGGAAAGTAAGTTAAAATTAGGAATATTATTCCTTGCGGTGTATAAGAGGAATTCAGTTTTCGATGAATTAACGTTGAGCCCGTAGCAACATATCTGCCCAAGAACCCAATTCCCCTAGTGCTCTTTGAAGCATTCGGCCTATCACATTTGTGCACAATCCCCGCAACCATCTTCGGTCAATTGGCCATTAGTGTGTTAGAGGGTGATTGACTTGGTTTTTCCAAACCGGTTTTTTTTTAATATTTTTAGGGTTTTTGTTTACCTTGTATTTTCGAATACCAAGTAAACCAGATTTCTACAAGCGAATAAACCAGACGTTCACCTAGTTTATTTATATACCACAATCAAAAATTTATTTCTTTATTAAAAATGGAACTACATAAAACATTTTTTGAACTTTTTTAATCTGAAACTGACAAATTTTCCACCACAGAAAAATGCATAAAAAATAAAAGAAACCCCGAAGTAAAATCCTCCACTGTGTTTTTTTTTTTATTTTAGCAGCTTCCAAACTCGATCTAAATCAGAGAATCGACAACAAGTTGTCATCATTCTCATCGGCACGCTTAGTTGAAGGGTAATGTAAGTTGACATAGTAGTATAAAGAGGTTCTCAGTGTCGTCGGGCATCTTTTTCAAATTGGGCTGAAGAGTCTCCAATAGGTGGCATTCGTCTCCGATTATGGGATTTAAGTGGTCAGAGTTGACGAAGGTGTTGTTTGATTCTCGATGAATGACTTGTCTATAATAGAATATATTTGTATTGTGAGTCTGGTTCAGCGTGTGGTATGTTATCATTCCCAAGACAGCAAGTTCTAAATGCTCGAGTTTTCCCCGACAAAGGAAGGTTACGAAAGTTTTCACTATTATTTTTCTTTGTTCTTATAATCCCAAATATCTCAAATGATTACTGATTTCCAAACTAAAGCTACACCTATTTTAGGTAGTCATATTGCAATTTGGTCATACAAGTTAGTGTTGCTGTAGAAAAAATATACGCAATAAGGAGGTATACCCGGTTTTTTCCTTAATTTTGAAAATGGGCAAATGCTTTTTTCAAATTGCCATTTTGCGAATAACTCAAAATCCGGTTTTCAAAAAAGGGCAAATATTCGAAAACCCTACTGTACCAGGTTATTATATTCAGCTCTTCTTATTAAATGCTTAGATCAGTTTTTAAACTCTTTATAAAGTTTAACTTCGGATCCATGCTATCTCTCGGTATTGTAAATTCAGGGCACTTCAAAGGTTGCTATTGGACAAGTTCCTATGGCTCCAGTTATGCATACGCATACCAGCCTTTTTTAGTGAGAACTTCGAGTTTGCCAAGTTGCGCAAATCTATCGACCCAGATGATGGATTCATAAGCTATCATGGGCCGTACTATCGCCGTATATATCCATTTCAGTACTGGACATTCACGGAAGATATGGTCCATAGTCTCTTCACATCTCATTGTCTTATTAAAGGAAAAACTAGCTTGCCCTCAAAACCGACTTCCATCAAACGGTTTTAATTCTTTTTTTTACCTAAGAAACAGCATGAAAATAAAATGCGTTTTCCGGTTCTTCTGATCATAGAAATGGAATCCATGACGCAAAAAAAGTAAAAAGATATATTTAAAACTTTTTAAATTTTATTGTATACTGAGTTTAGGTAAAAACAAAAACCATTTTAAAACCTACTAAATCCGTACCTTTAGGTAATTTTATAGGTCAAAGTAAATTATTTCATTCAACTCCACTACTTCTCATGAATTCTCTATCTCAATAGCTCAGCCGATAAGCTCCGCATTGTTACTGTTCTCACCTCGAATTGGACGAGTGAAGGAAATGCGGCACTTGCGTCGCCGTTGAAAATCGTTGAGAAGTGTTCCCTTAGACCGCATGAATTAAGGCCGCCTTCTTATTTCTTCGTTGCGGCCTAATTTCATTTTTTGATGGCGGCCTAATTTCATTTTTTGATGGCGGCCTAATTTCACTTGCAAATTTGATTATTCCCGCTGGTCTTATTTCATTTTTTGATCGCGGCCTGATTTCACTTTGCTGAAATGCTGAGTGTTATTTTTTCTAAGCGCTGCCAAAAACAGCCAACTTGGAAAGGTTTTCTGCGCAAAAATACTTTGATCAGCGTAGCCGAAGTTCGTCTGATGAGTGTTATTTTTTCTAAAAGCTGCCAAAAGGCCCCAATGCGGAAAGCGGTTTGCGCAAAAATACTATGGATGGCATAACCCGAGTTTACATTTTCTCTGTCAAAATGCTAATTTTATCCCATTTTCAAATGGGTACCCAGGGATGTGTAGAGGAGTCAGAAAGGGGAAGGGCAACGATTCTTAAAGTTTTGACTGTGCTTCTTTAATGGGTAGGGTTTTAAGTGTAACGACCGTCCCCCTCCGCTCCTACCACAAAACCATTGTCCAAATAACCGAACATTCTCAATTAATTTTTTGATTGCGACCTAATTTCACTCATAAAAATGTATTTTACCCGCGTTGTCTAATTTCATTTTGGCATCGCGACCTAATTTCACTAGTCAAAATGAATATGCCAGCGCGGCCGGATTTTATTTTTTGATCGCGGCCTAATTTCATTTTTTATTGCGGTTTTAATACATGCGACCATAATTCACGGTGCCGTCTACCACATCTTCGGCAGAGGCGCCATGTTAGTGGAAGATCGAATCATGCTGCTCATTTACATATGCCCAGGCGATAACAAGATATGAGTCAATAACGAAATTTTTTAGCTGTCGTTTGTAACGTCGAACTTTCGCCTCGTTGTCTGGGGTACATTCTCTATTGTACAGAGGCGTATGTGGGCCTCAGCTGATAGGTACTGATCCCAGTCGATGCTGACGGATGAAACGCGCGTCAAGAACACTTGAGGCGTATCTTATGTCCATCATAACTATTAAAGTATTCCTCGTTCTCTGAACAGCGGACACCCAATTGACTTTATAGCTATTTTGTGCGTCAAGGCCGCTAAACACAATTTTAACCTCGTCCTTCCTCTGTGCGTTCGTAGAACTGCTCTTTCCGTCCATCGCATACATATAACAGTTTTCCTATGAAATACATATCTCAANAATTTCCTGGATCGTGGTGATGTCAGTCTTAGGCTATACAAACATATAACAGTTTTCCTATGAAATACATATCTCAAATATATTTCAATTAATTTAAGCAAGCAGAAATTGAAATACGTGACTATTTAATTTTCTAAAATTAATTTCTTCAGATCGTCGTCCTTCAGTTCATATCATACAACTATCACCGGAAGAAATGGATAACGAAGAACAATTCATGGACTCATATCATCAACGCAGCCAGAGCGTTCGACGTCATTCAAATCGCTCACAACGATCCACTCTGCCCGATGAGCGGACCGTGGAAACAACATATCCAACAGATGCAGTTGTGAATCCAGCTTATATGCACGATGAAGAGTACATCATTAATGGTAAGCAAGCGGTAGATATCGGGCTCTAAATGCCAAAAATATGTAAGCGACATTTTTTTTCAAAATTTTATTTTTGATGCAGAAATGCATCTTAATGCTCTAGGGCGATTTCTGCTCGATAGTCAAAAAGACACAACGTAATTTGCAAATGTTTACTACTTAAGAAACAAAAAATAGAGTACTTATTTTGTTAAATTTTATTAACAGCACCACCCCCTTCGTACGAAGAAGTTATGCGTCAACCAGAAGTATACCCCAAAGTGCATCACAGTACGAGTAAAGTGAGCGACGCGAATATCTAAGGGTTGCATATCCGTACTACCATCGGGTTAAGTACTACAAGCGAGCACGTATGAGCATTCTGCATACATTTGTACATATGTAAATTAACACTTTCTGCTGTGATTTTATACTTAAATTAATGTAAATTACAAAAAAAAATGTTTTTAATATAAATGTTAAATGTAATCTAAAACGATTGACCTGTCTAATTTGATTTGAATAAAAGTAATTGTAATTATAAAAGGCGGCCGCTGTGGCTGAGTGGTTAAAGGTGCGCACTACCACTACGTAGGGCCTGCGATGGAAAGACCAAGTGGAGAAGAACTTGGCTGGATATAGGCTATCCATATTCGGTATTGCAGGAGAACTTAGCACTAAACCAACGGTTAGTAAAGAATATAGCGTCCAAAACGGCCACCAGCGTCAATGCTACAGGGCAGTTTGTGTGCAGGTTATACGGACACAGTAGTAGAGCGTCAACATTTCCCGGACGGACTGACTACATGATCCTGGATCTACACTTTGGGACGAACTTCGAAGAAAGCTGGCTCGGTGAATATCTAAACACACATATGGGTAGAAGATGAGAAATGCGTATAGACGGCACCCGTCTGTGCTAAACTCAATCTCAATAAATCCTATAAGCTGGCGGATCATTGCAGCATTGTTGGTATTCCAACCGGATATTTCTTACTGGCATCGCACACCAATGAACGGGCTCTGACTAATAATAAGAACAGTGGGAGATGCATAACGAAAGGCGAGACAGTGGAACATATCATCTGCAAGCGTGTCCTGTCCTTAGCATGCGTGACGCGTTTAATGAAGAAGGCCCAGACCAATGTTTAAGGACGATAAACCTATCCCTCCACTGCCAGTTCAGAACAGTATTAATGCAGCTGAAAAGCAACAAAGTCCTCGGTTCTAGTGGCAAACGTGTCTCAAATGTTCAAAGCCGAAGACGGAGACCCACCTCGATGGCCGCCCACCAACCATCAACACAGCGGAGGCGAAATTATCACGGTTCACCCTGTCTCAACTAAGATCGGGCTAGTGGAGCCGCCTCTACTAAGATCGATAAATTAATAAATTCCGCGCGGCTAGTGCCTAGCACGCGACAGGGCCAACACGGCTCTTTGCATGCCCATCGAAATCTACGGCCCTGACACCAGAAGTCTTGTGGTCAGCGCCGATCGGCGTCAAAAATCTCGATGAAACCCCGAAAAATACCATGAAAATTCCAAAAAAAAAAAAAACTACCGAAATAAGTCGAATGTCTCTTAAAAAAATTGATCATTGGAGCCGCGTGGTTAGAGGTGCGTACTACCACTCGGTAGGGCCAAGGTTCGATTTCTGGTTTAAGAACCATCCTAAAAAAGTATAGATAGGTTTAGGCCCCTATTATGAGTTGCATCCGATCTTCGACTGTGGTCGAAAGTGCTGTTTGAACGAATTTTCATTTGGTATTATGGCGCTCATTCGATGAAGAATAGCACTATTGTGAATTTCGCTCATTTAGGTTGTTCACATATTAGCTCTGATCCATTACTTTTCGTGAAAAATCCTGTAAATCTGTCAAACAGCAAAATTACTCTCTGAAGTGAGAGTAAAAAGTGAGTAACAACAAAAAGTACGGGAACAAAAAGACCATTTTTCCTGTAAAAACGTCAACCAGTGATTGCTTGACACTTTTCATGATTTTACCAGAAGAAAAAGTTCGGGTAAAATCTTGCAACTTCATTCTCTACACAACTCTCCAAAAGTCGCTCTCATTTACAGGATTTTGGAGGATTTCGGAGTACGGGAACATTTTTCCTGCAACTTCCTGCAAGTTCGTGTAAAATCCTGTAAGTTCATGGAGTACTGGATCAGAGCTATTAGTATATTTTTCACCGCTGAGAAGCTTTGTTTACAAATCGAGCAAACTAAAAAGTGTTCTAAAAAAGAAAGGGAGTTTATAAAAACGTAGTAAAATGAGTACAACGAAGTTCTGGTTCAACGATTCGTCAAAGGATGAGAGCTTAGTAAACTCGCCAGGAGTAGCAAATGTTTATGAGAGTTTAAGTGAAGTCTTTCGAAAATATTTTGACATAAAATATTTTTAAGAAATTAATCTACAGATTTATTAAAAAGTTCCGACTGTCTAAAGTGGCGTTTATGAGCCAAATCTATTTAAAATATTTTAAAACTATCAACAGCTCTACGAATTTTTTCTCAGAGATCGTGCCAACTGAGTATTAGGATTTTCTTTCACAAGTAAAACCAGCCTTTCGAGCTCGTATTTAGTATTCACGACGTTAGAACTACATGGAATCAATAAAAATTGTTTAAAATTAGTGTCTAGCTGCCAAAAAGTAAGAAAACAAATGCAAAATCATACATTTTTCACAATTTTCTAACACTTCGCTACCCCATCGAAAGCAAAATTCTGTTCGACAGAAANCACCGAAATTCTGTTCGACAGTAAATTCGATACTCAACGAAAATTTCGACACGGTTGCATAGCTCATAATACGAATTTCTTTTTCGATCTTCGATAACCAGCGAAGATGGAAAATCGAATGCAACTCATAATAAGGGCCTATGTCTTAAAATACCAGGAATCGATTTATTTTTACTAATGGCTAAAAAAATGCAAAAATTACCAATTGTTTTCAGAAAAGGCAAAAGCTACATGCTTAAACCATGGCAATAGCGGTGCGATGATTTTTTACTGTTTCTTTTTTCGCCGAAATCGCTATGCCACCAAGAAGTTTTGGGTAAGTTTACTAAACACCTAAAAACGTCTGCCTTATAAAATCCGAACCTTTTCAAGCTACTGCCGGGGGGCAGCATGTGCCACTCTTCCCCTCATCGGGCCAGAGGCTTCAACCGTTCCAAAATAATTTAGAGACACTTTTTTACAACAATCAATTATTCTTTTTAATTTTTCAAGCAATTGTAATGCAAATAAGCTTACCGTTACTTAAAGTTTCAAATTTTGGTACATATATAAAATTGTTGATGAATATAATTTGGAGTTATCAGTGAGTTCATCATAGTCGGGGCCCTTACTGCGTAATTCTTTTATAGTACCAATAGTTCGAATTCATACAATTTCACTGTCGATTCGAACTACACAGTAAAGGCCCAGATTTTTCGAAAACTACGAAAAGTGGATCACTTAATCCGTATTGCTGCGAACGTATGCATTCTTAGAAAGTATGTGCCGGGTATGCGGTAGAAATCCGGACTCCAGCTTATCCGGCGATTTGCTTTTACCTCAAAGCATTACCAAATATCCTCGTAAGCTCGCTCCTTAATAGAAGTTTTCACTAGAATTCGGCACTGTTAACATGATTCTAATGGCTCCCCATGATACAATTTGACAATTTTTATCCGGCACATCCCTAATTCAAACTATATGCTACGTTCTTAGCTATTCCATTTCAGTGAAAGCAATTTCGTAGGTTTCACGAAAAATTGGACTACGATGGATTCAGTTAGAGCACTGATTATTAAAAAATCTTTAAATGCAGTAATTTAGCTTTCTCAGTAATATTCATATAATTATCATCAACTGAATAATACAATTTTACATTTTTAGTATTCGAATAAAACAACGTACTATATTGTTAGAAAACATTTGAAAATTTTGCTGAGATGAATTTCAGTCTCCTTTTTTATCCCCACAAAGTGCATTTTTAGTTAGTTTCACCAATTAACCGTCTCAACGTCTTTAGCTTTACACGACTTTATTAGTATCATTTGATGATTTTAGATATAATTTTTGTAAAATGATTTGTTCATGTATTTACAATTAAAAGTTTCAGTCCACATTTTTTATAGTATTCATACACTTGGCAAAAATATTTGGCTACAATATTATAAACAAAATTATTCAGAAACTAAAAAGCTTATTTTCATATAAACATAATTGGCCACAAGCAATTTTAATTTTCAGATATTTTGCAGAAACAAAAATAAAATTGACTTAATTTAATGATCCCCTAGGCTGATTATATATCTACTAACCATTGTGGCTAAAAATAAGCGACCAATTTTTTTTTTTNGTCCACTAGGCTGATTATATCTTCTAACCATTGTGGCTAAAAATAAGCGACCAATTTTTTTTTTTTTTAGCTAACTAGCGCTTAATTTTATAAATCTAAAATAAATATTCGACTTCAAATGTACAAAATTAGAATACATAAAAAGGAAGTTGATAGTGTTTTCTCAGCCCAGCCGCTACTACTGTTACTTCCTTCACATCGCTGTCGCACAATTAGCCACAACCGCAAAATCGTTTACGCGCAAAATTTCTCGGCGCTGTGCATTTGTATAAAGGCTTCCAACGCTTTGGGTATAAGACCTTGATATTTAAGTTTGTGAAAAGCGATGCAGCGTGAGGCTATGCATTTCAACGAGGTCAACGAATTCTGGTAGCTAAGTATAAGATTGCTAATGCCATCTACATTGGAAATAAACAAAAATTTAAAACATTATTACCTATTTGGATTTAATTTGTATATGTACTACTTACTTGCGCTACCAACTTGTGCTGGCGTCAAGCCGTTTGCATTCACGGCATCCAAATGTGCACCAGCATCCACAAAAAGTTTTACAATCTTTTCAGCTTGCGTAAAAACATGTGGATTGTCGCGTGGAAATTGTATCTGGGTAAGTATAGAAATAATTTTTAAATTATATTTAGGAGTGTATCAAGCCCATAACAACTTACACTTGCAACAAGCGTATGGAGGGGCGTATTACGATCACGATCCACAGCTATTACAGAGGCGCCAACATGAACCAATAACAAGGCGGTGCGGAAGCAAGGAAAGCTAGGAAATGAGAACAAACGTAATTATGTGCATACATAAAAATAAACAGGCATGTACATAGGCTGTATATTGTATATTTTCTTACCGGCATATATCACTTGTATAGAAGTCATCAACGGGTGTTATGCCGTTCACAGCCAAATGTAATAAAGTTTGTCCATCCGCCAGGCGAGTATCACATTTGATGAATTTCAATATGGTTGAGTATAATTGCTCGATTTGAGGTCGTTGTATATCAATATTGGTGTGAGCCAAGAGTTTCGTTATAATTTTAATGAGGTAGAGGGCAGTGACGACGTTTTGTTCATTTTGATCCTGTAGATATACAAATACATAAATAAATATACATATATTTAAGAAATACGAAGGAATACAAAATAAAATTTTACAAGCAGATAGTTTTATAAATTATGATTGCTTCCGAGTGATATTTTTATATAAACAATTCACTTATGCCGTTTTCTTTTCTAGCGAAAAATGTTGCCCTCTCAGTGCCCTCTACGCACAGATACTAAGGAAAGGGCAATGAGAAGGCAACAATTTTTGTAGAAACGAAAACGCCATTAGTCCCTCAAGAGTTTTCAATAGTAGAAAGGACAGGCTGATTGGTCTGAAACTCCTTCGCCGTCACGTAAGTTTTTTCGCCCATCCCCACAGTTTTACAATCTCCCAAAGCAGGCGATGTTTTCTTGTAGTTCACCAGGAAATACAGACTACTCAATGGCTCTTTACCGATAGTTGCACACTGTTCGGACTTCATTGTCGCTTCACATGTCGCTCATGTATCTCGAGGAGAATACGATTTCTGACGAGAATTCAGCTAAATAGCAACGACCCATGGCAGTCTTCCACAATTTCGCCTAATTCACTTCATGAGCCGCCGTAAGTCTTTCTTATATCGGAATTATAAATACCCAATCCGATGTTATGCAGTTCAAAAATGGACTGTGGGACAACCGTAAAAACGACATACATATGTATTCAGATTACTTACCGCCAACATTTGCGGCACATCCTTAGGTCCAGGGTGTGCTATCTTGTATTTGTTATTCTCGATTTCTTGCTGGCACTTTACCAGCACGGACAGCACAATTGAAAGGTCCAGTGTTTGTTCCTCTAAGCGTAAAATCTGTGAGAACAGTTGAGCAAAGCGTAGCAAGTCACGTTCAACTGAAACCTGAAATCGATAGGCGTATATAAAAAGAGCACACACACAAAACTGCATTCACAGCCACTCACATTGTTGATCATACGCAGATCTATAGCGTAATTCCACAAAACCTGGCATTGTGCAAAGCGACCTTGATCCGCCATTACAGCTCCCCGATAGACAATTGGCTGCGGCAAGTCTGGATAATGTTTACCCAAAATGCGTTCACGTATCGTTAATGCTTCCATATGTATCGAGTGATGATTTAATCGTATGGCCTGCAGTTCTGGTATATTCTCCGTTTCGAACCAATCATCATAGGCGGGTACTGGTGCCATTACGCGCTTACGTATCACTTTTTGGTCGTCCGCGTAACGCATTTCCATGGCACGCATCAAATGCTGATAGGCTTTCGAGACATCATAGTTGTCCTTATCGTTCGCAAATGAGGCACCCATTAGCTCGATTGCATTTATTATCTGTAAAGAAGCAATGATGAATATGAACAAGTGAAACAAATTACCAGTCACTAATTGGTAGTATAGCTGAACTAACGACGCCTTACTTACCTCCTCTTTCGTCATCAGTCCCGGGCGTGAAATAAACATTTCCACCACCGATTCATGTGTACGTTCGGCAGCTTGCAAAACAGGCGTGAGTCCGTGTTCATTCTTTTGCATACGAGCGCCATGGTCGAGCAGCAATCGACAAACCTCAAAGTGGCCACACTCAGCGGCGTAATGTAGCGCTGTGGCGCCACAAAGCGCCTGCTCATTTGGATTGGCGCCGTTCTTCAGCAATGTGTCGACAACATGGGCGTGACCCTTATAGGCAGCAATCATTATGGACGTATTATTATAGGTGTTGGCCAAGTTTACATCAGCGCCATGTTCAATTAAATATTTCACAATATCCAGGCGTCCTAAGTGGTATCAATAGGGATGAGAACAATTAACGACCAGGGCTGAAACTCACCTTCATAGCATGCAGCACGGAGTGGTGACGATTGCGCTTTTGTATTGTGATTGACATCGGCGCCGCGCTGCACTAACAACTTCACCACCTGCATGTGGCCCATCCCAGCAGCGACCCAAAGTGCAGTGGCGCCATAAACAAGCAAGCCATCGAAAACCACATTGCACTCGCGCTCCAAATCGATGTCGTATTGAGTGAGCAGCGTTTTAACGAACGTAACATTGCCCATCATGGCGGCCATGGTGAGGGGTGTAACCGATTGTCCATCGACTTCATCGAATTTCTGCAAAGGCAAAGAAAAATAATTTAAAATTAAACGTTTGTATTTAAAGAAAAAGTGACTAAAATCCAGGGTTATAGATGTACATATGTATGTGTTACAGCGTATCCCTTGTTCCCTTTAAGGAATGCCTCCGAACAAAAATAAGTAATAGCTAAGTAAAAAATAAAAATAATTGTGGTGTGCGTCTTTAAGTTATTACACAAAAAGTGTGACTTAAAAATTTACTTCGGAAAGGTTTTTTATGGAAAGCTTTTCAACGGCAGAGGAACACCCGGAAGTATGCCACTTCCTGTCGCCTTACAAAAACGCAATTTTCGTGGCTTGCTCTGACCAGGAGTCGAACCTGTATTTTAACCCCTCGGCTATGCATGTGAAATGATGAGTTGAAAAAGCAAGCTCCCAACTGCTTTGCAACTCTCACATCATGACTGTAATGCGCAGTGAGTATCCACAGTCTCCAAAGTATGTCGAATTACTCTTTCCTCTAATTCAGTGTGTCATTACTGACTATATTCTAAAGAAGCTTCTCGAGTACCTGACTGATACTCCACCGCAGACCGTTTCTTTCCGCTTTCCCTTTATTCTGCTCCTCTCCCAGTGGATGACCAAAGAACCAGATACAAAATGATTAAAACCTAGATAAGAAGTCTTAGATCTATGCATAGACAGATCACTTTCCAAAGGCAAAGGTCAGAAGTGTTGTTGTTCTTGTAGCGTCTACTAAACCCCGTTCGGGTCGGCTCATCCGTCAACATTGTCGTCTAGCTCAGCTAAGGGAGGCCCATGAAGTGCGCAACTTCCATAGGGTCTGTCCATAGGCATAGGGGTTATCTGGGTAGGGTTTTGGGAGTATGCGAAGAGGTGCCGTCCACGTCGGGTGGTTGTGTGCCCAAAACGACATTCACAAGTCGAGAGTCTATGTAACTCGAGACAGACTCCCTGTGAATGCCGTTCAAGGCCTGTCGGTATGCAGTTAGGTCTAGAGGTTGTTTTATGAACCTCTGGACTTCGTTCGTCAGTTCGTAAAGATAACCCCTGACGTGCCTTGGTGAAGGCTCTACTGCAAGCGTCTGTGGCACCCTACTAGGAACTGTTTGCAGAGCATTGCTCCCCATCTGGGCCTCATCGTGCAGGTGGTGTTGAGGCGACATCGATAGGCATCCAGCCGCGAACCAGAGTGCCGTGTTCTGGCAAGTTCGTAGCTTCATCCACTGCGTCCTGCTAGTCCCCAGCGAAATCAGGGGCGCTGCATAATTAGCGCACTTGCAGCGACTTGTGGACCCTGTTGCGGCGCTGTACCCTGTTGACAATTGCGGTTGTGTGCACCGAGAAGTAGAGCAGACTGTCGTAGGTAACTCCGAGGATTTTCGGGCTATTCCCAGTCTGACCTCCTTCAACCAGGTGGTGAACAGGGTAGCTGAGGATTTTATAGGGGAGAGGTTTAGGGCAGTGAGGAAGCGAGAAAGCTCGGAGAGGTAACCACTTACTTTCGAGCGCAAGTCATCAATTTCATTCCCATACGCCATTATCGAGCAATCTTCAGCGTAAGAGACAATCGAGATTCCCTCTGGTGGTTGAGGGAGCTAGGGAAATATAATAGTTCAACAGTAATGGAGAAAGGACACCACCCTGTGGAACCCCCTATTTAATTTTTCTCGTGTTGAATGAGATAATTCGCCGACCATCGTGAGTCCCTGTGAGAGAGAGGAGGCCTCAATGTATTCTAGTAGCGTGGAGTTTCTGACGGTGTCAAACGCCTTTGACAGATCCACAAAAAATGCAAGACATTAAAAGAATAAAAAATGCAAAATTTCTATTCACAATTTTCAGAAGAATTTTACGTATGTATGCAGTTTCATAGCCCATTAAATTTGAGTATAATAAAAAGCAAGTCTGAAGCTGCTAGAATAAAGTTTATTATAACAAAGAGAAATAACAAACCAACGGCAGAGAACGTATACGAATACATAAAATTTTTTTTTTTTCAAAATCAGACGATTTGTTCAATTTGAGGTATTCCAACGTCACGGGTGGGACATTTGTACAGTCAAAATGTTCTTTCTTTTTAAGAATAAAGTACTCAACAATTCTAGATTTTGATAAAAGTTATATATTTAAAAACAAATTATGTAGATTATTGAGTTCAGCGCCCTCACATTCACCAAGAAAAAAAATTTTCATTTAAATCCGTCTATAAATCTATTTTTACCCACATCTTATATGGAAGGAAACCACTGTGCATCTTAAGAATTATTTTAGGCCGATTATTATTAGTTCTCTTCAAATTACATTAAATTAGTTAGAATAAAGAAAATTGCATATTAAATATATGTATGTGTACACACGTGCCTAATGATAGCATTAGCATGCCTATTATGCTTACATTTAACAAACACAAAATCACAGTCAAGGTCTTTGCTCTTGGTGCTCTTCATACCACACTCTCCACTCTCGACACATTACATATCGAGAAGGTGCGAGGAGCACTGTGTGTATGTATGTACATATGTCTAGGAAATTCTTTGTTCGTTTCCTTTCACGATCGCCCTCAGACTTACGTAGAATTTATTTATAGAAACAGGCCTCAATGACCGGCATATGTTGGCAGCAGACATGTGCTGCTGATGTCCACTGGCAGGCGTGTGAACAAAATGGACAACAACAACACAAATTCATATTTGTAGTGCGTACGTACATATGTAGTACGGCGAGGAGCATAAACGCACATCACTAATAAGAAAAGGAGTTTGACCAATCCCTGCCCCAGTCTTTTCAACGTAATGGTTGACTCATGGAAGTCTACCCCTCCAGCGTAACAACCATCGCCTGCAACGTTTGTTACAACAGTAATCAATACAAAAATTAGTATAGTACATATAGTGAAGGTAGAAAACTCGACGAAGATTTAATAAAATAAAATACATTAAGCGAGTACTAGACAACTCTTATTTGTTGGTAAAAGACGGCAGGGTTTTAAACATTGTTGAGAAAAAGATTACAAAGACTAGACAAAATATCGGATATTACCGTATAAATACATATGTTTATATGTATGTATGTAAGTAAGCACGAGTTTCTTTTGTTAAAGCGGGTATGATTTTTTTCACGTTCCCCAACAACAACACTGACAGTTGAGAAAAGCATGATGCGCAAAAAAGGCCAACATCCCCAACGCTAATAAATACATATTTATTTAATTTTCCTTTGTTTTTCTTCCTTCACGAAGGCATGCGTTGTTGATCATTTTATTATTCTTTTATTTTTTTGACAATCAGACAATAAATGACATCGTTGCGAATTCTTAAACATACTTATGTACACATATTTTTTCACACTCTTATTACATATATGTATGTACATACAACATACCATATGTATATAAAGTGGTCCAAAGTGTTTTTTAACCATACATGCAGTGGTCGAAATAATTATAGCCGCACGACATTAACATATTATTTTTATTGATATTTAATTTTGGTTATTGTTTATATATATATATTGTTTAAGGTGGTCCAAAATGTTGCTGTTTTTTTTAACCCCTCCCACCAGGAAACCATTTTTTTTTTACTTTTTAAATTGGTTAACATTTATTTCATCGCAAATAGCAACGTAACTTGTATTTAGTCTTAATTATTTAACGCATACATTTCAATATTCAAACTTCTACAAAATTTATAAAAAAAGTAAAACCGTTATCAGAACATTTAAAAAGTTGTTGGGTATGCGCTTTTATAGGTCATTAAATTTTAGTACAATACATATAGTGCAAGTCTGTAGTGGCTTGAAATCGCTTTGACGTTTGAGAAGTTTTTTCGTTGAAGGTGTTGCGCTTTTTCTCCCATGCCCTAAAAAGCATGATAATTTTTATAGGGAAGAAAATGTCTAAAACTGATAGAAAAAAAATAAGTCAACGCGAATACTTATCCGCTTGAAATTTGCAGTTTATTTCACTAGAATTGAATGGGGTATATAAATGAATACCAAAAATTTGTCTAAAAATTCTGAATAAAAAGTTTGAGATTTTGGTGGAAATTTGTTGACTTTTTCAATCTTGTAAATGGTTTGAAACTTTGATTTATATGGTTTTTGTTGCAGAACTAACTTATTTTTTATAAAAAAATATATATATTTTTAATTGAATAAAATGAAATGAAATTGTGAAAATGTCGCGCTGCTATTTTCGTAAACACTGGTGTACATGAAAAACTTCAAAATATTAACCGATTTTAAAATAGAAAATACGGGTTTCTTTTTTATTTTGCATAATTCACCAAAAGTTGATGTGCGTGTGATTGTTTTTTTGATCACCCTAATGTACATACGTACTATATGCCTATCATACATACCTACATAAATATGTGTGGGAATTCGTTTCATCTCCAACAACATTTTACAAGGGAGGACGAAAATCCGTTTTAAGATACATCATCTTCTTACCCTGTCGAAAGATTCAACTAAGACCAAAAATATACCAACAAATGTGGTTTACTATCTAAAGCATGCAACCGAATTTTCCGCACTGTTGCTTTTTCAGCATTATACATAGATATTCACCAGTATATTTTATTTTTTGGCAGTACATTTCCAAAATTACAATAAAGCTGCAGCTTTAACTCACCGCAGGATATAAAATATATGGTGAAAGGGGTGTCGTACTTGAGCCTCTCCAGAATTTCGCACCAGGCCAAGCCGATTCGAATAAACGTTTACGCGTACTAAAAGTGCAATAGCAAGTAAACAAAAGCAAAAAAAAAACTATATTTATAATTTTATTCGATTCAAATTTTGCACTGCAATTTACAATACCGAATACGTTCAGAATTCATCGCTTTCGCTTCGCTCCGTATTTTTATGTGTCACACTACTTCGCAAGGATATGAAAAGCCAACTGTTTTTAGTCTGCGCATATCCTTTCAAGTTGGGAAAATTCAATAACATTTCGTTAGCGTGCGCTAGAAAAAATGTATAAATATCAAAAAAAAAAACAGGGTGAGTGTATTATGCGTGGAGTCCTTTTGCGCGCACTCGCGCCACCATATGCGCTTTATTTATCCTGCGCTCATACAATGCACATCACACACTCCCTTATTTTGCATGCGGCCTAGCTGTTAAAAGGATATATTCACATACATATTTACGTATGTATGTATGTGTTTAGCCATGTGCATATGCATGTCCATATGTGCAAATGTTTATTCAAAAAGGAATTCGGGTGAGGGTTGAAAATTTGAAATTTGGCTCGTGTGGCGTCTAGCGGACAGCTGATAGTTGTTTTTTCTTTTTATCCTGCCGGTAGAATACGAGAGAGCAAAGCTATGAAAGAGATATCTCACAGTCACATCAGCTCTTTGGCATGATTTACCCAGCAAACACAGTCTCTAACGTTAGAAAAACATTAGATTTTTCATAAGAATTCTACTGTAGTTCTCTAATGTTTCTCAAATCAAAAATCCGGTTAGAAAATTGTGTTAGAAATCGATTAGAGAATGATTCGAAAAACACTAGACACTAGAAACTAATTAAAGCAAAAAATTGGTTGGACTACTAGCTGAATTTACACTTACTACGCCTATACACTGGTGGCAGAAATAATAGACTCACTCGCCTTATTTTTATCACTTTTGACTATATGGGCTTTTTTCGAGATGCAATCGCGACCGCAGAGTTGCGCGAATTATTTAAGTAATCACGTTCGGTGTTAATTTCTAGCAGTGTTTTATTAGTTGGGAAGTTGCAACAGTATTGGAAATTTTCATCAGTGCCCGCTTTTATTACGTGCTTCCAACAGGCCCTATTTCTTTGGTTTATTTAATGTTTAATATTTTTTTTATATAAAAGTCTAGCTAGTTATTCAGCAAAAATCATACAAATTCATATTTCAAGCTTAGTACAAAAATTAAAAAAAATTCAACAAAATTTCAAACTTTTTATTCAGAATTTTGAAAAAAAGATTTGGTATGCAGTTCATATCCCATTAGATTTTAGTATGTATAATAAAATGCAAGTTTCAAGTAGCTACGGAATGCCGTTGATTTTCAATCCTCTTTTTTGCTGACGGTGTGGTGCATTTTTCCCATTCAAATTTCGATAACTTAATCAAATCAACGGCAATTTGATCAACTTAACTTAAAAAACTTGCATACCAAAAATTTTTCTCAAAATTCTGAATAAAAAGTTTAAAATTTAGGTGAAATTTTTTTTAATTTTTATAACTCTAGAAGTAGAAAACTTGCTAAATAACATTAAGAAAATCCTTGCGTGATATCCATAATTTTTTGAATTTCTGTTGATTTTGTAAGCAAATCCTTCAAAAAATTGCATATTTACCAACAAAAACTGTAGCAGGATGGGTAAAAATCCTCAGTCGAGATCAGGAAAGGTTAGTTGTTCTGAGCGAAACTATCAAAGTACCATTAAATTACACCATAATGGTGAAGTAGAAAGGCCGAGAACTGTCACTTCAGCAACATTGCCTAAAAAACCCTTTGGGGGTTAATAAAAAGTGTAGCGCTAATTAAAAAATTGACCCATTCCAACGGCGATAAAAACAAACACAAAAATCAGATCATCAAATAAATTTAAGTAATACAAATTAAA